CTCCCAACATGATACAACACCCCCACCATTCATGATACAACACCCCCGCCATTTTTCTGCCCTACAAGCATGCATGCCCGTGTTTTGCCCCCCATTTTTATGCTTGCAGCAGCCCCGTGCACCCGCCTCGCTTATCGCTGCCACTCCTGTTGCAGCTGGCCATGCGCCCCTCCACCCTAGCTTCGGCATTGGTCTCCGCCCTTGCCTCGTCCGTTGTTCCCACCCTTGTCTTGTGTCCCCACCCCGGTGGCGGCACCCTTGTCTTCTAGCGCCCCTGTATGTCTCCATTTTTCCTGTACCATGCACTACTGCCCCCCGTGCTTCCCCCTTGTGCACCTGCCACCGGCGCTTGCAGCGTTGTTGCTTGCCCACCCTAAATGAACGCTACACATGATATCAGCACCTGCATAAGAAGGTAACTATGCTGAACACACAATGCAGAATACTTCAGGCTGGCACAGGTTGGGATGGAGCTGTGGCAGCAGGCACGGCAGTGGGCGGGCGGCCGGGTGGCAGAAGACGATACACAGCAGCTGTGGATGGGAATGCGTGCCGGCAGCTGGCCTGCTGGCGGCTGGTGCAGCCGCCCTTTGGGGCTCAGGCCTGCGCTGCTGTGGCGCCCGGGCTGGGCTCCCTGGCACCGGCATCAGACCGCGTCACGTCGCAGTACCAGCTGGCATTGGTTGCCAGGTTTTGGGGCGGGAGCCGTGCCCGCCTGCGCATATGCATGCGGGAACTCACCGCCCCGCCTGCTGACATTAGGTGTCAATGCAGGCTGTACATGGGAGCAATATAGATTGATGTGACGTCCAAGCAAGGAGGAGTGTCAACGGAGGGTAGGGTCATTAATTGAAAGGAGGTAGAATGGAAAGGGTCTGGTGTGCAGGCGGGTCGGTAGTGTGCGGCGGGTTGGATTTTATGTGTTGAAGCGGCGTAGTGACAAGTGTGGCCGGCAACAGAAGCAGCTGAGGTCTGTGACATCGTTGAGGCGCGCATCCTCCAGCAGAGGCTGCGGCGGCAGCCTGGGCAGCTCGCCACGCCAGGCAGCCATCCCACGATGGCATCACTGCACGATCTTGAAGGCGCACTCCGCGTCGCTGCCGCCGGCGTCCAGGCAGCGCAGGCGGAACATGTTGAGCACGGCAGATGAGGAGGTGCCGATTGCAAAGGCGTCTGCGGGGGCAAGCCGAGAACAGTTGTGGAGCGCTCTGGTTGGGCGCGGCGTTCAGCGGCAGCAGCGGAAATGGCAGGCCTAAACCTGCAGCGCTGCAACCTGCGGGCGCGGCCCGGCCTTCTGCAGCAGCGGCGGGTTCACACCAGCACCAGCGGCGGCAGGCGGCGGGCTCACATCCCACAGACACGTCCTCGTTGATGAGCGGCTGCGCCAGCCACACGCCCGGCTCATCGGGGGAGGGCGCCACGGGCATGATTGAGTCCAGGTTGGAGGCGGCGCGCACAATGGCGTGCGGCAGGTACACCTCGGCGTTGGCGTTATGGCTGCAGCGGGGGGCGGGCAGGCGCAGCGGGCAGGCGTGTCGGTCGCGCCGCGGCGGCGGCGTGCCCGGCGAGCAGCCTGTGCCACAGGCAGCGTTGCAAGCCTGGCTGGGCGGGCGGGCGGAGCGGCTGAGAGATGGTGGGCTCAAGCTTGTGGGGTGCAGGCGGGCCCCAACCTCACACACATGTGCCCGTGCAGCCGCACAGGCACAGCCAGCACCACAGCCCCTGTCCCTGCCGCACACCCACACACACACGCAGCCCCCGGCCCTCACTTGTAGATGGCTGTGAGGAAGCCGCGGGCCTCCATGGCCGACACCGCCACCACATCCCTCTGCGTCACGTTGGCGACACCCGACGTTGTGATGAGCTGAGCCACAAAGGAGCGGGCCTGGGCGTCCCAGGGGTGCGCTGCAGCAGAGGGGGAGGGGCAAGGGCGCGTGGGCAGGTCAGGGGACGAGGGGCTTGGCGCTGGAGCGGGCGCGCAGGGTGGGCGGGTGTGCTTGCCGTGCGCCGCCGTTGTCCCGCCGCGCCTGCACCCGCCTCGGCTGCGCCGCCACCTTGCCCGCCCCCGCTCCTGCACCCGCCCTCCCTCCCTCCTGCCACCACCCCCTCACCGCTCCAGAAGCTCTCCGACGCCACCTCAGCGCACTCCGTGTAGTCGCGCACCTTGGGCGGCGCTGCGGCGTCGTACCCGTACGCCACCCCCGTGCCGTTCTGCATCTCGCTCCAGTACAGCTCCTCGTCCGCAGGCTGGCGGGGCGGGCGGAGTAGGAGGCCGCCTTGGCAGCCGCCACCAGCTCGTCGGCCAGCGCCAGGCTGGCGTCCGAGGCGTTGGCAAACATGCAGTAGCCAAAGAGGAAGTCGGCCTCTGGGCCCGGGTCCACCGGCGGCTGGAAGCACTGGTTGGGGAAGCCGCTGCGGGACAGGCCACGGGGGCAGGGAGGCAGGGGGGTGGAGTGTGAGGGCTTGAGCGCGAGCAGGCGCGGCTCGACAGCAGCCATGCGCAGCTCGCTGCACAGCCTGCCCCTCCTTGCCCCACCCCGACCCTGGTACAGCTGCCCTGTGCGGCCTGCCCTCCCAGCCACCCTGTTCCCAGCAGCCCAGCTGGATGAGCATGCAGCGCCGCCAGCAGGCGGCCCGCTGGCTCTTCGGCTCGCCCACCTGGCCTGCTCCGTCCAGCTGGCCTTGAAGCACCAGCCCTCCCCAAAGGGCGACACGCAGATGTCGCCCACCCGCGTCACGTCCGTGCTGGGGTTGGCCTCCGAGCAGTCGTCCGCGTTCAGCACGCCGCCGGGCTGCGGCGACCAGCCCGAGGTGCCCAGCCACACCACCTCGCGCATGTCGATGGCGGCGCCGCACGACAGCAGCTCCGCGGTGCAGGCCGAGGCGGCGGGGGGGCCGATGCCGGTGGTGCCCATGATGGCGGGCTGACCCAGCAGGGTGCCCACGGCCACAGAGGGGCAGCTGGCGGAGCGGCCGACCTTGTCGGCCTCCACCTTTGCGTTCTCCAGCAGGAAGCGCACCTCTGGCACTCCGCTGAATACGCCGGGGTCGGCAGCCAGCAGCAGGCTGGCGTTGGGCGGGGCCGAGGCCAGCAGCTCGCACAGCTCCTCGTGCGTCATCTTGATGGGCTTGGGGATAGGGGCGGGGGAGGGGGCGCTGGCACGCAGGCGGCGGCGGCCCAGCGACGCCCTGCGCGCAAGGGCGGGCGGCGGGCGGGCGGCAACATTTTGTTTGCTGGTGTTCCGCCGGGTTCCGCGGCGCACGGTTTTCTGTGGAGCGGACCAGCTCTGTGAGCCAAGCAGAGGCTCCTCCGCAAGACATGCCGGGCTACATGGCACCCGTGCCAAGTGGCGCTCCAACCCTAGAGCTGTTCCCAATGCCCCGCTCCCCTCTCACCTGGTCTGCCGTGCGTCTGCGGCAGTCAGCAGCAGGCACAGGGCGAGCAGCAGGGCGACCTAGGGGTGCGCCATCGTGGCAGTGCGCAGAGGAGACAAGAGGCAGGCAAGCGAGCTAGAGAAAGGTGAGCCGGGCCGTCTACAACTGAGCCGAATGAGTGTATGCAGCATTCATGTACATAGCTTCCTGTCCCCTAAGGGGAAAGGGTGGCCCAAGGCCAGCTGGCGGAACTGGGCACGTGGGTGCTCCTGAGGTGGGCGCTCATTAGCGATACCCCACCCAGTCTGCACATGGCGTGCTGGTTCACAATTCCAGACCCTCCGGCGGCTTCCGGTCTGAGGGGCCAGCACTAACCATGTGCCCGCCGGCAGCAGCGGAGTGAGCACCTCTTAAGGCGCCCTCTTGCCACTTGGCCATGACTTGCATTGTTGCCCTGCATGGCATCATTCCACAAGTTGTGGTAGCAGCAAGGTGCTGCAACCACCTGCACCAACCAGCTCCACCTGCTGCGCTTCCTGCCGCTCAGCACGATGCCACCACAATCGCTACCGCCAGCTGCCTGCGCAGGCGGGTAAGTGGGCGGGAAGCTTAACATCAATCAAGGGAGGCAGAAACATGGACCTTGCATCGAAATGTGGCATGCCAGGGTATGGATGCTGCACCTGGGAAGTCAAGCACAAGGCTGCAGTGCACATCCCACCGGCCAGCCTCTCGCCGCGCTGCGGAGCCGCTGCCAGCACACTGGGAGCACTGGGGCGACACCAGGAGCTGTCCACTGGCGTGAATTTGATGTGGTGTCCCGCGTTTCATGGTGTAAAGCCCCATAGCCACGCGCCCTGCAATGGTGTTCAGGCGGGACGACGACCGGAGGCGGCGGTGTACAGCCTGGGCATACAGCCTGATAAGCCGCCGTCTGGTCGACACAAGCATTCCAGTGCGCTGCAGAACTGCAATCGCCACCAAGGGAACGCAGAAACGCTCTTCTCCTTAGCGCCTGGTTCGAAATTGAAGCGGTGAGGGCTTTGCATTCTACACCAGACACCCCGCAACGCGCAGTGATGAACGTAATGATCGAATTGCAGCACAGACCCCTCCCGCTCCACTCTGCCAGCACCGCCCACCGCCCTCCCGCCGCCCGGTGCTGGGCCCCTTGCGTGCAGGCAGCCCGCTCCGTCGCACAATGGCCGCGCTCGTCGATGCAGCGATGCAGGGATCAGTGGCCCGGGTGAAGCAGCTGCTTGCGGCAGGCACGGCAGTGGATGGGACCGACGAGGAGGGCCGCACCGCTCTCATGGCCGCCGCCGCCTTCAACCAGGGCGAGGTTGTTGAGCTGCTGCTTGGGGCAGGCGCCGACGTCAACCAGACCTGCCCCGGAGGCCGCACAGCCCTGATGTATGCCTCCTCTGGCGACACCGCGACGGTGCAGCGGCTGCTGGAGTCTGGCGCGGAGGTGAACTGTGCAGACAGGATTGGCGGCAGCGCGCTCATCTGCGCCTGCCAGCAGAATGCGGCCAACGTGCCGCTGCTGCTGGCGGCGGGGGCGGCGCCCAACGCGGCCGACGTCTATGGGTGCACCCCCCTCTACTTTGCCTGCGGCACCTGCCAGCCGGGGTCGGCGGAAGCGGTGGCGCAGCTGCTAGCAAGGGGCGCCAACCCGGGCACCGCTAACATGATGGGACAGACGCCGCTGGTGAGTGTAATCTAGGGGTGGGGGGAGCGTCTCCGGGCCGCCGCTAGCGTGCGTGAGCAATGCATGGGCAGCTTGGCAGCGGCTGCAACAGAATAATGCCACCGCTGCTGCCCCCCACGCGTGTGCTCGCCCCCACGCCTGCTGCAGCACTTTGCCTGCCAGGAGGGCCAGGCTGCAATTGTAGCCCAGCTGCTGGAGGCTGGCGCGCCGGCTGATGTGCTGGACGGAAATGGACTGACTCCTTACAGCATGGCACTGCAGAATGGCTGCACCCAAGTGCTCCCGCTGCTCCAGGCTGCGCTGGGGTGAAGGCTGGCGGCTTGCAGCATCATCTCCATCAATTGTTGCCCCAACTGGGTGAATTTTATTGATGCAGTCACCGATCGTAAGGCCTGCTGCAATACATAGCGGCTAACTCTCGATTTCAATTTTGAAGTGATGCGCAAGGGCGGCCGCCTGTGCAAGCGGTTGGCGGGATGTGTACTGCCAGCGCCATACAGGCCGATGCACCAGCCCATCAGGCCCATATCGGCACCAACTGAGCGCTGTATTCTCAGCGTCAATCACCCCTGCCCTCCTCGCTGTCTGCGCTCTGCCGCCCAAGATCAGCTTTGCCATAACCCCGGCTAAGGGTTAGCCGTTTGAAATGGGAACAGGACGCGGAGACCGCCAGCCATCGCCGCAGCGCGAGCCGCGCGGCGGCGGCGGCTCACAGGCGGGCGACGGCGGCAGCCTGCTGGACCCCGCCGAGACGGAGAAGCTGGTGGCGGCGGCGCAGTCTGATGTCGACGCGCTGCGCGCCGAGTTCCTCTTCGCCCCCCCCGTGCGCCTGCACAAGCCTCTGGCAGCCCTGCTGGAAGACTCTCGTGACCTGCCAATCCTCTTCCTCTACCTAAATGTGCTGCTCACCACGGTGCCGGCGGCGGTGGCCCTCTTCTGCTTCTTCCCAACAGCCACGCGCCCGCTGCCGCACTGGCTGGGGGCCGCCTACCTGGTAGCCAACTGCGTGGCGTACCTGGGCCGCTTCATGCTCTCCCTGCACTACTCCCAGCACCGCCGGCTGTTCAGGCGGGGTGAGTCGGTGGGCAGCCCGGCGCCGCCGCCTCCACCTGGCTGTGCTGCAGCTCAGTGCGATTGGCAGCCGCTGCTGCCGCTGCTGCGTGGCTGATGCCGATGCTCACATGCTGCCCTCCTTGCCGCAGGTCTGGGCGCTCTCAACTTCGTGGCACCGGTGCTGTACGCCCCTATCTTTGGCGTGCCATCAGGTGTGTGCAGCCGTGGGGAGGCTGCCCTGCTGCCTGCCACTCCGGCTTGCGAGGCTTGCCCTCTGTCCTCCCTGCCTGCCCGCTGCCCGCCCGCTTTCCCGCTCCAACACGCCACGTGCAAAGCGCCCTCCCCTTCCCTGCCCCCGCAGGCATGTACTACCTGCACCACTGCCTCATGCACCACTGCGGCAACAACTGCGCCGCGCACGATGCCAGCAGCACGGAGCACTACCAGCGGGACAGCTTCCCCGCATTCCTGCTCTACTGGCTGCGCTTTGCGGTGGGCGGCTGGGTGGAGGTGCCCGCGAGATGCGTGCAGTACCGGCGCTGGGGCCTGCTGGCGGGCAGCCTGGTGGCGGAGGCGGCGTGCTTTGGCGCGACGGCAGCTGCCTGGAAGCTGAACCCGCGCGCCACGATCTGGGTGCTGCTCCTGCCCTACCTCATCACCAGCCTGGCGCTGATGTTCGGAAAGTGAGGCGCCCGGCTTGTTGTAGGGCCGCCCGCCCGGCAGCAGCTCCAGCGCCGCATGTCTGCTTGCTTGTGCCAGGGGCTGGCTGGATCCCCGCGGGCCCCGCCCTTCCGTCCTGTCGCGCCGGCGTGCCTCTGCCACCGACCGGCCTGGCTGCGCGCCTGCCTGCCCCGCAGCTGGAGCCAGCACATCTTTGTGGACCCCACCCACCCACACGACTCCTACCGCCTCACATACAACTGCGCCGGGGTGAGGCTGCAGGGCGCACGCGCCCGCGCCGCTGCCCGCCCGCCACCCCGGCCTGCCCAGCCAGGCGCAGGCCGCCGCGCCTGCGCCGAGCGCCTGGTACCTGTCGCACCACCTGCCTGTGCTGCGCTCACCCCGCTGTGCCCCGCTGGGCTCGACCAGCGCGCTGTGCCACGCTGTGCCACGCTATGCCATGCCAAGCTGTGCCGCCCCGTGCCGCCCTGCCCCCCTGCCCCAGGTGCACGACAACCGCCTGTCCTACAATGACGGCTACCACATCCTGCACCACCTCAACGGCCGCCTGCACTGGAGCGAGATGCCCGGCCGCATGGTGGCCACGCTGGAGCAGCACGCCGCGCACGACGCGCTGTGCTTTGTGGGCATCCACTTCTTCCAGGTCTGGCTGTGCGGTGGGCGAGTGGGGCGCGTGCGTGTGGATGGGAGGCGCAGGGCAGCGGGACACATGGCAGTGGCTAGCTGGCTGCAGCGCGGGATCCGTGTGCACAGCGCAGCCCCCACGCGGGCATGTGTTTCAAACCTCAGCGCGCCTGGCCCGACCTGCTGCCTGCCGCAGGTGGGTGCGGCGGTGATGACTGGAAAGTACGCCTACCTGCTGCGCCACTTGAGCCGGTACAGCGCCAAGCTGGCGGCCATGGACGATGCCCAGCTGACGCAGATGCTGCGCGCGCGGCTGGTGCCGCTCAATGCCTAGTTCGGCTAGGCCAAGCCCATAGGTGGCCCTCGGTGGGCCGCCTTGCTGGCTGCTCATGGCGCCGTGGCCGGCCACGGCGACATTGTGTTAGCGGTGTGTCACTGCCAAAACTACTCAATTTCACCTGGAATTCATTAAATTCGCCTCCTTTTATAACACACATACCAGTGGTGTGCACACTTTTGTCAACAGACAGGGCAACACACAGGAACCTTGGCCTGTGCCCGCGCGAATCTGTCTGTATCGTGCCCCCCTGCCCTACCCTACCCTGCCTGTCCCTTCCCTACTAGCGTCTACCGTACAAGCTCAGAACCTGCTACATTACTACACACACTACATACGTCCAGTGCCATTCCCAGTATGCACTCTGTCCCAGCTCACTATAATCTTGTGCCCCCAATTCCGTTCACCTCATGTAACTTAAAATTACTAGTCCCCACACACAAAGCATACGAGTGCCCCCGGCCAGTGCCAGGCTGCACTGCAGCTGCCCTGTCCCTCACGGCACGTTGGCTTGCAGAGCAGCAGCAGTTACAATTGGGGGAAGGGGCCAGCTGTGCAAGGTAGTCACAGTGATAAGGGCGCCAAGTGCGCTTCATTCAGAAAACTCAGCTGGATAGCCTGACTGCCTGCTTGACCCATGGGGTTGAAAAATAACTGCCAGGCTGGCCCGTGCAGGGGCAGGTGCATGCCCCACAGGGACTCTGCTCCGCTCAGGCTCGGGCAATGAGGCCGGCGCTCTTCATGGTGCCCTGGATTCCGCGGTGCACGTTGTTCACCACACTGTCGGCCACGCCATGCTTCTTGCAGGGCGCCCAGAACAGGTGCTGGGCTGTGGCCACCACCAGCAGCATGGACACGCACACGCGCAGCCAGTCGGGCAGCAGGATGCCGCGGCGCTTGAGCGCCGACAGCGCCAGGCGCTCGGCCACGATGATGGGCGCCTGGGCCAGGAAGAAGGAGAGCCAGACGCCGCGGGTGGTGTGGCCGGTCAGGTACCTGCACCCACAGCAGGCCGGCAGCTCCAGCTGGTGAGGTGGAGGGCAGCGCCACTGGCATCCCGACAACCTTCGGTCAGGCAAACTGCGACAGACGGCACACCAGCCAGCTAGTGAGTGAGCCCAGCCCGCCTCACCAAAAGATAAACTCATGGAACAGCCCACTGGCCCCAAAGGAGGCCAGAGAGCCGACTAACTGGCGCAGCGCGGTGGGGCGTGCCTGCGGCACTCCCGCTGGCGGCGCCATCAGGCTGCCATCCACCACCGAGTCGTACACCAGCTGGCGCAGGGTGTTGCCTGCCGCCAGGTCCCAGCGCTTGGACCAGAAGGAGGCGACAGAGGTGGAGCGCCAGGGGCGGTCAAAGTGGGGCGACACACGCAGGCCCGTGGCGCCGATGACCAGAGCGGCGGGGCCGTCCATGATGAGAGACAGCAGGGCGTACAGGGCCAGGCCTGGGGGAGCAGAGCAGGGCAGCGGGAGCACGCCTGAGGCTCGAGTGGGCTCTGCTGCGGCTCTAGCGGATCTCTCCTTGCTGGCAAAAGCTGAGCGGGCACTGCGCCTACCGTACACAAACGACTCCAACAGGCCCGGCAGCGGGTGCTGCAGCAGCCAGACCAGGAAGGCAATGCCAGCATTCTTGGCCAGCCAGGCTGCCAGCATGGCATTCAGGCTGCCGGCGTCCTCGCTGAGCCTGCCCTTGCTGGCGCCGCGGGGCTGGGCAGCCTGCGCCGCACCATCCCCATCGCCACCGCTGCTGCCGCTGCCGTTGGCCGCCTTGCTGTCGGTGGCGGCGGCGGCGACCGGCTCGGCGGGCATGCCGTCGGTGGCTGTGGTGGACAGAGGAGGGGAGCCTGTGGTACTGCCAATCAGGGGAGTGATGGGAAAGATGTAGGCGGCGACAAACTGGGAGGGCGAGAAGGGCTGCATGCAGAGCGAGCCGCGGTTGACAGCCCAGGAGAACACCTGCAGCGGCAGGAAAGGTGGGGAGGCAGGGAGCGGGGTGTGGTGACGAATAGGCATGCACACCAACAGGCAGCCCAGCCAGCATGCCTTGCCTTCATGGTTGACAGCCACATGATGTTGAAGCTGCAGGGAGGGAAGGCAGAGAAGGGGTTTGTGCCGTGTCACCAGAACGCCATGGCAGAGTGGATGCCACGCCCCCCACCCGGATGCGATCCTCACCTCATCAGCACAATGGTGGTGGAGTCCTCCCAGCGGCAGAAGAGCTTGGGCAGCGCAAAGTTGAGGGCGACCACCGGAGCGGCGGCAGCCAGCCGCCACGGCCCCGGCTGCAAGCACCGGCCCCACGCCCACAGCCACAGCCCGCAACCTAGCAGCGCCGCCAGCGAGTATCCCAGCGCCTGCGCATAGGTGATGCCCAGGCTGGTGTGGCAGAGCTCCTCCGCCATCCGAAGGAGCCTCTCCCGAAGAATCCTCACAAGGAAAACTGACTGTGCCGGCAGCACCTGGAAAGCAAGCGGCAGCGTGCAGAGGTTCAATCGAAAGCCGTGCAGCGCATTGCGCCTCGGGTTTTCAGCCGGCTTCTCGGCGCCAGCCTGGCCCCCGTCGCCGGGGCGCAAGCGCCGCCGATGGCTCGGCATGCTGCAGCTCCTGTACGGCGTGCTTACACACGCCCTCATCGGCTCACAGAACAAGGAATGCTGAACATCATCCGCGCTGGTGTGCGCATATGCAGGCAAAGAGGAGTCGAACCGGCAGCAGAAATAACAGCCAGTGCAGCAAGGCGAGCACGGAGCGTGACCGCGATTGGCACTGCACCCCAAAACTAGCAAGGATGTAAACTGCCCGCGGTGCCTCAGATGGGCAGCGGCGCGCCAATGCGGCGCAGCATGGCGAGGAAGGCCTGCCGCGTGTTGCCCATCATGCTGTCCACCACGCCATGCTTCTTGCAGGGTGCCCAGAACAGGTACTGCCCCGTTGCCAGCACCAGCAGCAGCGAGATACAGGTGCGCAGCCAGTCGGGCAGCAGGATGCCGCGGCGCCTGAGTCCCGCCAGTGCCAGGCGCTCGGCAAAAATGATGGGCGCCTGGATGAAGAAGAAAGCAAACCAGGCGCCGTGGCTCGTGTGGCCGGTGATGTACCTGCACAGGAAGCCAGCAGGCAGGCAGCCAGGCAATGGGCCCGGGCGGGATTCAGCTGCATGTCAAGGCGGCGCATGTGGCTGTCTGGTTCGCCCTGCCAGACCGCCTCACCAAAAGATCGCTTCGTGGATCAGACCGCTGAACGCAAAGGTGGCTGCCGTGCCCAGCGCCTGGCGCGCTGCGCTGGGCCGCGCGTGCGGTGGGCCGGGGGGCGCCTGTGGCGGCGCCACCAGGCTACCATCCACCACAGGACCATACACCAGCTGGCGAAGCGTGTTGCCTGCCGCCAGGTTCCAGCGCTTGGACCAGAAGGAGGCCACAGAGGTGGAGCGCCAGGGGCGGTCAAAGTGGGGCGACACACGCAGGCCCGTCAGGCCGACCACCAGAGCGGCTGGGCCGTCCATGACGAGAGACAGCAGCGCGTACAGGGACAGGCCTGCGCAGCGAGGGAGAGCAGCGAAATTCATGTCTGAGGCGGTAGCGGAGCATCTGCTGCAAGTGGCACTGCTGAGCTGTGGTTGTTTGTGCTGGCAGGTGCTTTCCCTGGTGTACCGTATGCGAAAGACTCCAGCAGGCCTGGCAGCTTGTACTGCGGCAGCCAGACGAGGAAAGTGACGAAGGCAGACTTGGCCAGCCAAGACGCAAGCATGGCATTCCGGCTGCCGGCATCCTCGCCCAGCCGCCCCTTGCCGCCACCGCGGGGCTGGGCAGCAGTGGCATCGTCGCCATCCCTGCTGTTGCCAGTGCCGCTGCCGCCAGCAGCTGTGCTGCTGGGCGAGCCTACGGCAGGCTCGGCTGGCAAAGGTGCGGAGTCTGTAGTGCTCGCAATCAGGGGATTGATGGGAAAGATGTAGGCGGCGACAAACTGGGAGGGCGAGAAGGGCTGCATGCAGAGCGTGCCGCGATTTGTAGCCCAGGAGACGGTCTGTGGCGGCAGGAGGGAGCAAGGGAGCAGCGGGGCGGTTTGCGGCACGGAGCAGGCCAGGGATGCACAACTGAAATGCAACGCTGCCTCGCCTTCATGGATGCCAGCAGATGGATGAAGCTGCAGTCGAGGGGAGAGGGAGGAGGGCGCTCAGGATGAGACCCCTCCAACCTTGGAGGCCGGATTCGCTGGCCGGCACACGAGACAACTCGTCGCACAGAGACGCTTCTTCGTCGCACAGAAGCGCTTCTTACGTCATCAGCACGATAGTTGTAGACTCCTCCCAGCGGCAGAAGAGCTTGGGCAGTACAAAGTTGAGGGCGACCACCGGAGCGGCGGCAGCCAGCCGCCACGGCCCCGGCGGCAGGCGCCGGCCCCACGCCCACAGCCACAGCCCGCAGCCTAGCAGCGCCGCCAGCGAGCAGCAGAGGGCGTGCTCGAAGCTGATGCCTAGGGTGGTGTGGCAGAGCTCCTGCGCCATCGCTGTGGCCCTGTGGGCGCTGGCCTGGAACTCAGCGTTGAGCAGGTTGGAGAGGACAGCCAGCAGCTGCGTGGAATAGGAAATCAGTGCAGGGCTTTGGGGTTTGGACCGATCCCGCGCCACCTTGGCGGCGACACTGAGGCGAGCGGTGGAGCAGGCAGTCTCCATGTTTACAATTGGCACACTGCTGCGCGTGCGCCCGGTTGATTACAACACACAGCCATCTTCTCAAGGAATTCAGGGAAAGCTCAACATAATCAGAAAGTCACAGCACAGTGCTGTGCGGGCGGTGCCCAAGCGCGGCAGCAAGTACAATGAGCGGAAGCCCGGCCCCTTGGCAAAATGGGGCCCCATTCATCAGTGATCCAAATAAACACAAGTGGAACACGATTGCAGTTGTGTTCAAAGAAGAAGGATGCGGAAGCAGACAGAAACAAATCTTCGCCAAGGCGTCAGATGGGCAGGGAGATGCCGACGCGGCGCAGGATGGCCAGCCAGGCCTGCCGCGTGTTGCCCACAATGCAGTCTGTCACCCCGTACCGCTTGGCTGGCAGCCAAAACATGTACTGCCCCGTGCCCACCACCAACAGCGTGGTGATGGCGGTACGCAGCCAGTCGGGCAGCAGGATGCCGCGGCGCTTGAGTGCCGACAGCGCCAGGCGCTCGGCGAAGATGAGGGGCGCCTGGATGAAGAAGAAGGCGAACCAGATGCCATTGGTCGTACGCCCTGTGATGTACCTGCACCGGCAGCAGGGAGGTGGCCGGTCGGTCTGCTGCATGACATGGCAAACTCCTGATGGGCAGCTTGCTGCTTCCTCGGCATGCCAAGACAGCTGGATGTGTCTGCTGGGCCCGCCCCTGCAGCCCTGCAGCCTCACCAGAAAATGGCTTCATGAATCAGCCCACTGGCTGCAAAGGTGGCCGCCGTGCCGAGCGCCTGCCGCGCAGGGCTGGGCCGCGCCGGCGGCACTCCCGCTGGCGGTGCCATCAGGCTGCCATCCACCACCGACTCGTACACCAACTGTCGCAGGGTGTTGCCTGCCGCCAGGTCCCAGCGCTTGGACCAGAAGGAGGCGACAGAGGTGGAGCGCCAGGGGCGGTCAAAGTGGGGCGACACGCGCAGGCCCGTGGCGCCGATGAACCAGAGCGGCGGGGCCGTCCATGATGAGAGACAGCAGTGCGTACAGGGCCAGGCCTGGGGGGAGGCAGAGGTGGGCGTGGGCGTTGTGTATTGAGCAACACATTGCTAGGAAAAGCAACACCAAACAAAGCAAACAATCAAAATCCGCTGTGGCGCGTTGTTCGTGCCGGCAGCAGCACCAGGGGAGCTCACCGCAGACGAACGACTCCACCAGGCCCGGCAGATCAAACTGCAGGAGGTAGATCAGGAGCAGCACAAACACGTGCTTGCCCAGGAAGGCAGCCACCATGTCGCCTGGCCCGCCCGCGTCCTCGCCCAGCCGCCCCTGGCTGCCGCGGCGGGGCAGCCCCGTGCCCGCGTGGCTGCCGCCGTCTGATTTGCCGGCGTGCACGCCACCTGCCGCGCTGCTGCTGTTTGAGCTGCGGCCGTTGGCGGCGGCCTTGGCGACAGACCGCGCCTTGGCTGCCGCCGCCGGCGTCCCTGGCCGGGGCGCCGACACGGCTGGCGTGATGGGTGTCCAGTAGACGGCCAGGAACTGAGGGAGGGTGAAGTGCTGCATGCAGAGCGCGCCGCGACCAACGGCCCAGCAGAGGGCCTGCAGGCGGCGGCGGCAGGAGGGTGCCATGTGGGCCAGGCAGATTCCCTGAACCCTCGGTCGGCAGCCTGGTGTGTGTGTGGCAGGCAGCTGCTCCGCACCTTGAAGTTTGCTATCCAGGAGTTGTTGAAGCTGAGCAGCAGTATCGTCGTGCACTGCTCCCAGCGGCAGAACAGCACTGGAAGCAGCAGGTTGATGGCGACGACTGGGGCCGCAGCCGCCAGGCGCGCCGCACCGGGCGGCAAGCGCCGGCCCCAAGCCCACAGCCACAGCCCGGAAGCTAGCGTGGCTGCGGCCGCCACGCCAAGCGCGTGCTCAAAGGTGAGGAGGCTGGAGGCGCGGCAGGAGCCATCCATAGCCTTTATCAGCACCGCACACAACTTGCTGCCTCCTCCTCACAGCGATCCAGCGGCCACACACGAGCCAGAAGCGATCTGTGCAGTGCGATCGCTTCCTCGGCCTGTCCTGGAGGTTTCCATTGGCCGCCAGCGGGGGGCGGCGGCATGTCGCGACATGGGAGCCAGGACCGCAGGGAGCCACATGGGGCAAGCGCCCAATGACCCTGTCACGTTCATTGGCATGGACCTGGCCTCACAAATGTATTGATGTACCAGTGGCGATCCACCAAGCTGAAGGCTGCCTGCTGCCAGCCAACCACCAAGCTGAGTGTGGTGCCTCCATCCTGCACATGTTATCGCTTCACCAACTTACAGCACCCAAGGAGGATCATGCAAAGGTATCAGCCAATAAATGGGGCCGCATGGGGAGGGCACGGGTCGCAGCACAGCAAGAGGAATAGCAGGCTCACATGCCACGGTGCGAGGAGCAGGCACGGCCGCAGGGCCAGGCTGCCAGTCCCGAGCTCACGGATCAGAGGGGAATGCGACAGGAACGCCGCTGCCATTAGACGGCTGAACGCATCCCGCCACCAAGGTGCCTCACAGCTTCATGCTGGCAAAGCTGGCTGCCGCCTGCAGCGCCTCATCCACCTTGCCCACCTCGGGGCCTGTGCCCTGCACCACGGCAAGCAGCGGCGGCAGGTGCGGCAATCATGAGCACCCGCTGCCCTGGCAGGGCTCCAGAACCAGCCTTCCGCCCAAAGATTGCAGGCCCAGGCATGAGGAGAGACGGCGCACACCGCCACACCGTCGCCCGCAAGAGCTGGCGCACCTGCGCGTTGGTGGGCTTGCCGCCGCCGCGGCCGCCCAGCGTGCCGAGCACCTCCTTGATCCAGTCGCCTGCAGGGCGGCAGCAGCAGGGGGTGCGGGTGCCAGGTCAGCCACGCATGGGCCAGAGCAGGCCGCAGATGCGGCAGGGAGGCACGCCGGCGACTCCACCACCCGGCGGCCGCCCCGCCACCCGGCCCACAGGCCTGGCAGCACACTGTTGCCTGCTCCACACCCCCTGCCCTTGCCCCTGTAACCCTGCCTCCCCAGCCAGCCCACCCGCCGACAGCTGCTTGGAGATGTCCTGCGGCACGCCAGCATACGCGAGCGCCTTGTCCTCGCCGGCGGTCAGGAACATGACGGGCAGCGAGGGGTGCTTCTTCTGGATGGCATTCCACGCCTCCTGCTTGTGTGGACACGCAAGGCAGGGCAGGGCAGGGCCGGGGGTGGGTGGGGTGGGGTGAGAGGGGGAGGGAGCCCCGAGGGCGAGGCCACGTGCGGCAGACAATGGCTGGTCGGCCGGCCAGGCGTGTGCATGCGTGTGTGGCCGCCCCCGCAACGAGGAGCCGGGTCCACCCCACATGCCCCCTCTCCCCATTCGCTGCAGCCCTGCCCACCCCCACCCAACCCCACGCAGCGCAGCACCCAAGCACCCAAGCACACACCTGCACCGCCTTGGCATCCAGCCCCACATCCAGGCGGGTGACCAAAAACTTCTGCCCCGCCGCCGCCGCCGCGTCGGAGGCGTCCACCGCCGCCGCCACCGCGCGCTCCTTGTTGGCCGCCGCCGCCTTCTTCTGCTCCTCCAGGATCAGCCGGGTCAGCCCCTGCAGGGCCTCCGCCAGCGCCGCCTTGCGCACCGTGGGGATGACGGCGCCTGCGGTGTGTGTGTGTGTGTGTGTGTGTGTGTGTGTGTGAGGGATGAGAGCCAGACAGCGCAGACGGGGAGAGAGGGTGCCACACGGAGATGGAGAGGCGCTTCCGCGCCTGCGGCAGCCGGCCGCAGGCTGGCCGGCGTGCTGGCTTGGCAAGAAGCCAGCACGCCTGCCTGCCTGCCTGCCAAACCACACCTCCTGGTACAAGGTCCAGCGCAGCGACCCAACCCGCCCCAGGCCCCAGGCCCACCCACCCGACACTGCCTGCGTCAGTGCCTTGACCTCCCCCTGCATCTCCCCCACCGGCAGCCTGCCCGCCGCCTCCACCGCCGCCGCAAGCTGGTCGGCCAGCGCGATGGCCGCCTCCGCCTCCTCCCCCGTCACAGCCACGATGCGCCTGCGGGGCGGGACACAGCGGCGGCGGCGGCGGCGGGCTCAGCTTGCCAGCCCAACACCGCCAGCCAGGAGGCGCGGCAGCGCCAGCTGACCCATC